TCTGGCATCCACAGGGCCCTGAGTGTGGCATTGCATCCGGTGTGGGTGGAACCGCACATCGCTGCGCTCCTACGCTGAGCTCAGAGTGCGGGTCTGGCATCCACAGGGCCCTGAGTGTGGCATTGCATCCGGTGTGGGTGGAACCGCACATCGCTGCGCTCCTACGCTGAGCTCAGGGTGCGGGTCTGGCACCCACAGTGCAGCTGGCTGTGCTTCTTCCTCAGGGGAAGGAGTTTGAGACGCGGCTGAAGGAGAAGAAGCCAGGAGATTTGTCAGATGAGCTGAGGATCTCCCTGGGGATGCCAGTCGGACCAGTGAGTGGCAGCCTGGGCTGAGGGGGAAGGAGACATGGGAATGGGGCTGAGCAGACGGGATCCTGTTCTTTCCTCTGCAGAATGCCCACAAGGTCCCTCCCCCGTGGCTGATTGCCATGCAGCGATACGGACCACCCCCGTCGTACCCCAACCTGAAGATCCCGGGCCTGAACTCGCCCATCCCTGAGGTGAGCGCTGTCCTGCTGTGCCTGGCATCCTCTGCGGCCTCTGCTTTGACTGGCCTCCTAACACCCAAACGCCAAAGCCCTTGCTTTTTAATAGAACCCACAGGGCCATCGTTAGTGAGTCGATCAGAACAGATAAGTACAAAGAGGGAAGTTCACGCTTCATCCCTCTGAAAAGAACCCAGTGAACGTTTGGTGAATGAATGTGTTTCCATATGTACAACCACATACGTGTACACACACACACCCATCATCATGTGCACACGTGTGTGGAAATGGTGACATTAACTAAAGGTGTTGCGGCTTAGCACGCCCTTGCAGACACTGGGCATGCCTGCTGACCTCCAGGGGGGTTGGGGCTCATTCCTCCCACGTTGCAGGCAGGTCACATTGTTTCTGTTTGTGTTCTTTCTGCTCACATTTTCTTACTCCTGCTTCTCTGGAAATAGTACTTTTGACTGTAATTGTATCAGAAAAAGTATAAGAAGTCTTGGGTCCAGCTTGGTAGTTTCTCCCATTAGCAGAAAGCAAGCCACCCAACGGTGCGTTTGTTTGTATTGACTTGTGATGGTGATAATTATAATGCATCAGCCCCACAATTGACTGTGAGACCAGGCGGTCACGTTCCTGTTACTGTGAGTGCTATGGGCTTGGTTCCCCCGAGACCATGTGCACAAACAAAAGAAACGCTGCCCAGCCTCACAGTTGTTCTATGTAAGCCCCTTGTTGCCCTCGCTGGGCCCGACCATGTCACCGAGAGTCTCCCTCTGTTCTCTGACTATCTGCTCTTCCGAGCATGAGGCCGTTCTGATGACCTGTGCAAAGCACTCGAGGCGGAGCCTCAGCACCGAGGCTTCTAGGGAGCGTCTGGCTGTTCTTCCAAGACAGACGCGTTACTCTGCGCTCAGTACTCTGTTGACAGCATCGCTTGAAGGCCATGCCCAGCTTTGGCATATGCACTGCAGGCAATGGCTTGGCTTGAGTCAGGCACATGTTGGTCCTCAAAGCGACAAAGGGGGGGCAGAAAGAAAGGCATGCTGTTTTTTTGCCCAAAAGCTGGTGCACTGAGATGGCTGCTTGAGCAGAAGCGTTGTTGTGGTCGCAAACTAGTCCCCCATCGGCCACAAATCAGGTCTCTTTTGTTGCACACCGTTGCACAACCTTTTCAGAACCTCTGAATAGAAAGCTTGATTAACAGTCTTATCTGGTAGAATGAACTCCAAATGCAGTACGAGTTGACATTTTTGTATATTAGGAAACGAGGTTTGCTATCAATCGACAATTCACCTTTTTTGGAACTAGAAAACCATTCATACTCGATATTTCTCATAGCGCTATCCTTTGTGTTCAACATCACAAGCTTCTGCAGCATTTTACCCCAGCACGAGAAAAATTTCACAGCTGTACGCTGTTCTCTTAAATCCGCCATCACAAGAAAAAGAAGGTTTGAGCAAAACTGCTTTTACGAAAAAATTCACTGACCACAGAGAACCATCCCAGGCGACGCCACTGGGTGCCCTGACTCAGAGCGAGCTACTTGATCTCGCCTAGAGGGGACAAATGTGTGCTACGAAAGCTCCACCCTCTGCAACTCCAGGTTTTTGGGGGCACCCCTCGTACATGCCACCCACACATATACAGAAAGCTGTACCTGTTGGCATCAACTCTGTTAATTTTAAATAAAAACGTTCACACATTTTTTTTGAGTTTGGCAGGCAACAGAGCTGGGAAAGAGGAGGCATCATCAAACTTGAGATACAAATTGACATCCCTTAGGAGAATTAGGTTCTAGAAGGTAGCGATTGGTGAGAAGCGGAGGCAGGGCTCCCTTGTGGAGCCTGGGCTCCAGCAGGAAGATGAGCTGGTAGCTCACGTGCTACACCCGACTCCACCCTGCTGCTTTGTGGGTACTTCCTACCATTGCCTTCTGCTCTGCCGTCGGGGCAGTTCCTGAAGGTTCATTTTAGGCTCTGGTGGGACTCGCTCTTAGGGCTGTAGTGTGCGTTTGATTGCATGCTTGTAATGTTTCACTGCGTTTTCAGTGGACGTTCACACCGAAAGTGAAGTTCCCATCCGACACTGAGGACACACGTTGCACAGCAACTCATGTTTGTTTGTTTTTTTAAACGAATGTGCCTGGGTCCTCTTTGGTGGCCTCCTGGTGGTGTTTCCAGCACTCAGGTTCCCTGCCCCCTTCTCAGCTTTGGGTCCACGCTTCTCAGGACCCTTCGGAGTCACCCTAACTCGAACGCCTCCCTTGCAGAGTTGCTCCTTTGGGTACCATGCCGGCGGCTGGGGCAAGCCGCCCGTCGATGAGACTGGGAAGCCGCTGTACGGGGACGTGTTTGGCACCAACGCTGCGGAATTTCAGGTACGGGCCTGCCCTGCTGAGCTTGGGCTCACGGCCATGAGGATGTGACATTGTAGGGGTCCAGGCTTCATTCCCTGGGAGCTGGGGTGTCGTGAAATTCATTAGAATCCCCAGAAGGGCTCACCATGCGATGCATCCTCCCCAGTAGACTGACGGAGCTCTTTGTGGGTCGGGGATTCTTGCCTGTCTGTGTGCTGTTGCCGCTTTCTGTTGACAACTGAACTGTGCTGTGCTGTGCTGTAAACATTTGTCCACGGAGTGAATGATCTCGTTCAGACCAAAACGGAGGAGGAAGAGATTGACCGGACCCCCTGGGGGGAGCTGGAGCCCTCGGATGAGGAGTCTTCAGAAGAGGAGGAAGAGGAGGAGAGTGATGAAGATAAGCCAGATGAAACAGGCTTCATCACCCCTGCAGACAGGTAGGTGATGAGGAGGAGAGGGAGCTTGCTCTCGCAGGGACGGGCTTCCCTTGCGGGGGTGGGGAGAGCCCTCCTTACTCCCAAGCTTGTCCCTCCCTTCCCAGCGGTCTCATCACTCCCGGAGGCTTCTCGTCAGTCCCAGCTGGCATGGAGACACCAGAGCTCATTGAGCTGAGGAAGAAGAAGATCGAGGAGGCCATGGACGGGTGAGGGACCTGGGGCAGAGCCTGCGACCTCGGGGGTGGGGCACACCAACTGTGTGCCAGGCGTGGCTTGGGGCATCGGGGTTGATGAGGAGCCGAAGGACAAAATCATTTCAGAGATGGTAAGGTTCGCGAAGGCGCCTGCTATCCTCACATACCCCGTTTGAAACCACCAGCCATTCCTTGGGGGGAAAGGGGGCTTTCTCTTCTCATAAAGCGGCATAGTCTCAGAAACTCTTGGGCAGTTCTGCCCTGTGCTGTAGGTCCCTGTGAGTCGGCATCGACTGTGTGGCAGCGAGTTTGAAGCAAGGGGACTTGGGGGATGGGTACCGAGGGTTGGATGGTGGGAAGCCTCAGAGGAAGGAGCTGCCCCGGATGACCTGGGGACTAAAGCACGAGCAGTGTCCCGAGGACAGGCACCGGCCTCGCGAAGGCCGGCGTCTTGACCTTCTGTTACTAAGCACAGCGTCCTTTGGGATTATTCGGTCTCGGTGGATTGGACCTTTTTTAATTTTAGAAGATGGTGGTTTCTTTGGTCCTTTGTGTTCTTTGTTCCCTTCTTTTCACGTTCTCTTCCGGGTGAATTAGATGTCTGTCAGTGGTTCCACGCTAGCTCCTGTTTGAGTAGAGAGCACCCATCCAACGGCTGATCTTCATTTTTGTGTCGCTCTGCTTTTCCGCCATCAGGTGATCTCAGGAGATCATTCTGATTCCAGATTCAAAGAGCATCTCAAAACGACAGCCTCAGGGAATCTTCTGGTCTCAGGTGGTCCGGTTAGTCCGAGATTTTGGGAAAGGGTTTCCGTTTCTTTCTGCATTTTCCTCCCATTGTAACCAGGAGCCTGGATTGTGCCTCTGGGCTGATGGAGCAGTGGCGGTAGGAGCCAGGCACCGTCTAGTTCTTCTGACTCGGAGAGTTGAGCTCGTGGCCTATCCAGGCTTAGCTCAGCCTAACAGACTTGTCTCTTCTCTGAGCTTCCTTGTAACTTTTTCACTCTTTCGCTTCTGAGGAGTTGTGTCTTAGGCTTTTTTATTTTAGTGGTCTTTTTTTTTCCTTTTAAGGGTTATTTATCATAGTCCACCTACAGTGATTTGTCACTTCCAAATAGTACTCGAATCTTCCAACAGTTAGCTGCCAGTTGTCACCTCCTGACCTTTTCACTGTTCTCATACATTTTGCTTTAAATCCCTTATAAATCTTACGTTACTGGATTATGGCTTTTAGAAGATTTATAGAGTCACACGTTCGTCCATAGAGCCACCGTTTCCAGTGCTCATTTCTTTCCGCATACCCACCCAGCTTTTCAATGAGTATCATTTCCCTCCTGCTTACGGAGTGGTTCTTAATATTCTTCCTTTGTGGGTCAGCTGCCCCTGCATGAATCTTCTTTAGCTTTTGAAGAATTTGGGGTGGGTGGGAGGCGTGAAGTTTTGAAAGATACTTGGCTGGGTTTAGGGTCCTAGGTTAAAAGGTGATATTCTACTGCTTCTTGCTTGTGTTGTTTCTGACAGGAAATCGCTGTCATCTGTAGCTCTCTTTTTTAAAAAGTTGTTTAAAAAGGTGATTGTGCTGTGGGTGAAAGTTTACAGAGCATCTTTGCATCCAGTCCTTAGACATTTTGTATCTGATCGGTTGTGCTTCTGGAACCCTGTGTAACATTGCTGCTCCCTGTGCTTCCTGTTTCCTGCCCTCCTCTTCCCGCCTCCGGCTGAGCTCTGTCCTTGGGTAAACGCTGCCTTTTTGATAGCCGATGATCAATTACTCAGAAGTGTGTGTACTTCACTCGTGTAACTATTCCCCATATAGACCTCTGACTGACCGTGGAACCACCAGAGTGAGTTCCATCCATTCCAGACCTGAAGGGGGATTCAGGCCCCACAGCCGCCCCCCCGCCCATCTGACCAGTAAGCCTGACTGGGTCTTTCCCCAGTGTTTCTCCCACTCTGTAGGATCTGCTGATGTGATCTTTCAGTGCAATTGGTACTGGTAGTTGGGCACCGTCTATTTCTTCCGGTCTCAGGGCAATGGAGACTGATGCTCCTGTGGCCTATGTGTTTCCACGAGTCTTTGGTCTTCATTCTTGAATCTGAGAGGGCTGCACACGGCTTCAGGCCACTGCGGGAACAACAGCTAGCGCCTGCCACCTTTATCCTTGCCTCGCTGTGCAACACGCAGGCTTCCTCTGGCTGTTGTGAAAGATTGTGTTGCTGCTTTGTAACGAGATTATGATGTACCTCGAAGTCGTTTGCTTCGTGTTGTTCAGGCTTGGGAGTTTTTAAGCATCTCCAATAGGTGGATTTGCAGTATTCATTAATTTGGGAAAACGTTTGGCTGTTAGGCATTTTTCTTTTTCCTCCTTTGGGAATTCCATTTACATCCATGGGGATTAGGTCTATGAAAATCTCACTGCAGTTTTTGCATGTTCATTTTCTCTGTATTTCATTTAAGAAAGTGTTTGCTGTTCAAGTTTGCACATCTTTTCTCATCAGTTTCTCCTCTGACATGAATCCTATCCATAGTTTTTGTTTCTAGAAGATTGATGATCTGGTCTCTTACACACTGTGTGTGACTATGGAGCTTGGAGGGATGGAATGTAGTTATAACTTTCCATGTATTTGTCTGCTAATCCCAGCCTCCCTGTTGGTCCTCAGTCGGGTTTGGTTGATTGATTATTCTTACCATGGGTTGTATTTTCTTGCTTTGCCTGCCCGATCAGTTTTGATTGGATGCCAGGCGTCGTGGCAGTGGGGCCCGAGGTGTTTTTATAGCCCTGTAAGCCTTTGGCTCTGTTCAGGGACACAGTGAAGGGCCCTGGAAGCAGGTGGGGTGATCATCTCAAGCCTTGCTGTTAAAGGCCCTTCGGCAGCATCAGAGGAGTACTGTTTCCTCTTCCCCACGTCTGACGCACAAGACCCTCTGTGTGGCCTACTCAGTGTTCTGTGAACCATGGAGACCCTCAGCCTTGTTGGTGGGAATCGGCACCATTCCCAGTCCTGAGCGAGTGCCAAGCACGGCTGCCACGAATCCTCTTGGGTGGCTGTGGCTCTGACCTTGGTAGTTTCCTCCTGCCCCTCTGCTGACCAGTACTGCCTAACAGTACTTGAGGAGGGCCCATGGTAGGTCCCTGGACTTCTCTGGCCTGGGAATGTGAGACATCTTGGTCTGTCAGCTTCATCTACGAACCCACGGAACCCCCTGGTTCTGGGCTCCCCCGTCTTGTTTTGTGGCTGGAAACTCTGTGCAGTGAACTGGGGTCATCAAAAGGTTCTCTACCTTTGTTGATTATCCCTCCGGGTCCATTGCCCTGGGCTGCTCTGAAACCCCCCCTGTGATATCTGTTGTCCCTTGTGGAGCTGGTTTGGGCAGAGGGGTCAATCTGATTTCTGGTGTTCCTTGTCTAAAAACCGGAAACCTCAACGCTTTTCGTATTCAAGGACAAAGAAAATGGGGGCGTGTGGCTGGAGTAGGTTGAGCAGGAGGCGCTCGTTGGGTGTAAGACGCTGAAGGACGTTCTGGGTCGTGGCGAGGAGCTGGCGTTGTTTTCAGGGTTTCTTCAGAAGGCTCGCGCAGTTTCAGAAGAGGAGTGACAGGATCTGAATTAGGTGATGCTTTTTGTTGTTGTCTGAACAGTTTTCAGGGCGGATACTTCACCCATCATACAGTGTGTCAGTGACAGTGCACTGGGTTTTAAGGTGTGTTCCCTCTGATTGAGGGGTGCCAGAGTGGCAGATTATCTCCTCTATTCAGAATTTAATGCCGGAAGGAGGTGATGGAGGCTACCTGGCTGCCTTGGAAGGGCTGGCAGCTTGAGACTAATGTGCAAAACAACTCTGGTCACCGTCTTGGCCAAGAACTGCTGTTGTAGCCTGTTCTCTCCCCAACTTCTCTGTACCAAAATTCTCTTGGAAAACCTCGCCCTCTGATCTCTGGCTCTTCCCATGTGGGAGTCCTCCTAGGTCCATGTACAGTTGTAGGCCGGAGTGGCCCCGAGCCTCCCTGGCCCGACACTTTCCTCTCCAGGGAGGTGGGGACGGGGACGGGGACGTGTGTATGCTGCCCAGCTTCTTTGACTGCTGCCGCCTCTGGAGATGTTTCCGTTTGGGAACCAAGTGGGCTCCGTTGTCCTTTGCAGGAGTGAGACCCCTCAGCTGTTCACTGTGTTGCCTGAGAAGAGAATGGCCACTGTTGGGGGAGCCATGATGGGCTCGACCCACATCTACGACATGTCCACTGTGAGCACTGGAAGGCCGGGGGGTGGAATCCTGGGCTGGGAAGGAGGGCCCAAGCCGGGGCCTCGCCTCCTCTCCAGGTGACAAGACCTGCTCTCTCTGCTAGGTGATGAGCCGCAAGGGCCCGGCACCGGAATTGCAAGGGGTGGAAGTGGCCCTGGCACCCGAAGAGTTGGAGTTGGATCCCATGGCCATGACCCAGAAATACGAGGAACATGTGCGGGAGCAGCAGGCCCAAGTGGAGAAGGAAGACTTCAGCGACATGGTGGCTGAGCATGCTGCCAAACAGAAGGTGAGAGAGGACCAGGGAGGGCTGGGTGAGTGCCAGGGACCAGGCCCTGCCGTGTGCAGTGCAGCTGCGCCCTCTAGTGGTGAGAACGGACCCCGTTGCCTTCGCCTTGTGCTGCCTTGGGAGCCATCGCAGGTGGACTCTTGGCATGATGGAGGGAAGGGGCTCATCCCAGCCTGAGCCGGAGGTGGGAATAGAGTTCACCTGGGTTCAATGAGTCCCCACAGAACTGGTGACCAGCAAGCTGCCCACTTTCTTTTTCCACTGAGGAGGTATAGGAGGAAGGTGGTTTAACCCCTTATAACTCACGTCTCTTTCTCACTTGCAGCAAAAGAAGCGGAAAGCCCAGCCTCAGGACAGCCGTGGGGGCAGCAAGAAATACAAGGAGTTCAAATTTTAGATTCCACCTCCCCACATCCAGCTCTCCTTTAGGCCCTCTCCCTGGACGCGTGGCCATCGTCCTTCACACATGTGGTCCAGGAACCAGCCCACCTGTGCTTTGCCCAGGGCTCCGACTTTCATGTTCTTCTTTCTTCTTTATTTTGTAAATAAAGCCTGTTTCCCAAGGAAAGAGCCGACTGTAACACTCCTGGTCCCCCATCAGCCGACAATGGATGAGCATGACATGACTACTTCCTAGGGCCATTGGGGCCAGGGGCTTGCCTCGGCATCAAGTGATGGCAACAAGCCGTGCTGTCCCGAGGCGCTGGGGGAGCGGCTCCCTGTCAGGCTGACCTTCCCATCTGCCCTTGGGGGAGCATAAATAGCCAGCCTAGCGCCCGACTGGGCTGCGCAGTGCAGTGGGCTTGGGAAGTAGGCCAGGCCAGGCTCCCTGCTGGGCCGGGACAAGGAGCCCAGCCCTCTATTCTGAGAGACCAGAGCTCAAAACCCAGGTTGTCCCAAGACCAGGTGAACTTCAAGCAGCATCCATCTTTGGAACTTGAGGCTGCTGGGGGAGGGTCTTTACTTGTCCACGTTCTGGGCCCCTGGCCCAGCGGAGTCTAGGCCTGTGGGGTGCGCTCAGTGCGCAGCTGTTGCCCTAGTTGGGGGGGCGGGGCCAGAGGAGGATGAGTACCCTCCCTCCCGTGATGCTTGGCTGGGGGCTTCTGGATGGGATGGGAGGCAGAAGGGAGTGTGGAAGACTCCTGGGAAGATGTAGCAATTAAGCTAGGTTTGGGGTCAGGAGAATTTCAATAAACGATGAAGCAGGAAATGGAGGGTGGGGGTTGGGTTTGAGGGAGCGCTGACCCAGTAGTGATGGTTTCACAGTGAGAGTGGTGGGCGCCCCATGGGCTAGGGTGGCATCTTCCCTTTGGACTGTAGGCCCCTGAGCTGTCTATGGGGGAGAGGGAGAGGCATCTCCACCACCCCGGGCCCCGACCCGCCTGGGCCAGTACTGGGCGCAGGGCTTGGGGGCAGTGGCTACTGCCGCCTGGGCTGCGCGCTGGGGCCTGACTCAGGCCCCGCGGCAGTTTCCTCGGGCCGGGGCCGCGCCCCGGAAAAGCAGCGTTTCCGC